ATGGATGGATGATGGATGGATGGATGCATGTTTTAGATTTCAATTTAATTAATTAAGTGAAATTAGTTTATATCAATAGTCAAACTAAAAATATGGCTAATGGGCAGTGATTTTGTCTGTTATGGTTTTCCATACAGTCAGAGAACCTCCCCCAGAGGCTGGGCAGGGACGGAGTAAAAAACATCTGGAGCAGCTGTGAGTTTGTGAGCTCTGCCCTGCGGTTAGGTAAGGTCTCTCTGTCAGAGCGGTTCTCTGTGTGTCTGTCTGTAGCTGCATGCATTCAGTCAGTCCAGCTGCCTGTTTATGTGTCTGCAGCTGCAGACTGGCTCAGCTGGAGGAGGAAACAGATTTATACTGGTTCTTTAATCTGAAAGGCTTTCAGCAGCTCATCGTAGCTCAATCTTAAGATAATAAGCTTTACTTTCAGTTTTCCATGCATGTTTCTACTGAGGCACTGAAAAAACACTTTTCCAACCTTTAACTGCTTTATCAGTTGTTTACTTGAAAGCATTTGATGCAGGAAGCTCAGCCTGGTTCTTTGCATTTGAAGCTCTCCGGTGCTTTAAGAGCAGATAGAAACCTGGAGAAAGTTCCTGCGACAGGAAGAAATATTGGACCCTGACCTAAAAACACTTTCAGAGCAGCTGAGTTTGGTTTAGTCCTGAACTTCTGGTGTGGACCAGTTTACATTTCAGCAGCTTCATGTATTTCATGGAAAATGTTTTTATTGATCCATACAGATAAGATTTAGTTTATCTGTTAACCAGAGTGCAGGGTCAAATGTTTCCATTCTCTCAACTCCTCTTTGTGTTTAAAAGACAGATGCAGCAGCTTTGGGTTGAACTCTCATTTCAACAGGTCTGATAAAGGAAACGTTGAAATGTCTTTATCTGCTGACTTCTCACTCATCAATGAAGCCCAAGGTTGTTTAGCAGGGGGGCGGGGCTTAAGCTAGACGTTCCCTGAACATGTTCAGCTCCGCTTATAAACTGGAGACCAGCAGTAATGGGATTACATTTCAAAATAGGAAAGTACCTATGAGAATCCTTAGTATCTCATCAGGTGCTTCCAGGTGACGTTTTCATTGCTTCCTTTCAGCGATGTTGTCTCTGGCCTCCCACTCACTTCGCCTGAGCTCTGCTGGTTACCAGGCAAGCAGGAGGTCCGTAGCAACAGTCATCTCTGGCAACAAGACTTCCAAGTAAGTGAATGGAGCAGCAATAAATCAAGAGAAAAAAATTATTTTCTCAAGAGTTTGACAACTTCTATTAAAACAAAGTTTCATCAGCGTACATCGTTTGGGGTGTTAGCACAAAGTCCAGGTGGAAAAACAACAGCAATGAGAGAATCAACTGCTGCTGCTCATCAATCTGTGAAAGGTCAAAGGGTCATCCTGCAGAGCAAAGACATCTCAGACAGCTAACAGACCTGGAAAGACACAACATATTTAGAAGCAAATGATTTAAATCAAAGCGGGTTAATCTACCTTTCTGTTAAGTGTAGAAAATGCCAAAACTAATAACATGGACATTTTGGCCACACTAAATATGCAGGAAGTAAAGTAATGCTGAGACATTCAGGACAAGAGAACCTTGCTACTAGAAAACAATAATAAATAATAATACAAAATATATCAGCTAAATGGAAACACTGCAATAAAAAAAGCTACAAATGTTTTTATGCTTAAATGAGATGTTTTTTGATCCCATTAAAATTATTATATTCAGTAAAACTGCAATGGAAACTTTAATTTGCTACACAACAATCACAGGATCTGCAACTGAACCTTACTGCCTTGGAGGATGATGGAGCGCCATTTATGGATTCATCAGGAAAATATTTCCTATATTTACTTCACAGCGATGAACAGAAGTTAGAGCCTGAAATATGGAAATATTTTATGTGTTTATAAACGCTGCTTCTTTTTTCAAGACTTAGACTTAGAAAGCTTTTATTGTCTTTTTGTATCCAAGAGTTATGAAGTCAACAAACAAATCCATTCATTACATAGACTACAGGCATTTTGAAAATTAGCATTGTCACTTTTTTTTTTTTTTGCACATTTGTGATAGAACCGCAGCTGGTGAGATTTTGCAATCTAATGTGCAAAATCTAGACTTCATTGTGATTTACATGCTGCTGGGTTGCAGTTGGACTTGATCCTGGATCTGTTTGTCCAGGTTGGTGAGGGAGAGGCTGAAGAAGGATGTGGAGAAGATGAAGAACCAGTTCTCAGGGTTCAGACCCAGTCTGGTTGTTCTGCAGGTGAGACATTTGTGTTCAATTACAGAACTGCTTTCCTAACAGGTTCTGAGCTGTGGACCAACACATTCATTCATTGATAATAGATAAAGCAATAAATCATGTTATCTGGAGGTAATAAGGATTGTTGACCTACAGATTTAGGTGAAACTGGCCTGAACTTGCTGAGTTTACTGCAGCTGCTTCTGTTCTCTGGGCCGACCGGTTAGACCGAGCAGAACCTGCAGAGGTTCAGTCAAAGCTCAGCCTGTTTTAGGTTAATCACTAACCTGCTGCAGGGACCACAGCTACTCCTGCTTTGATGTAGACTGAGGATCCTTTACTGGTCCTCACTTTGTTGGCTTAGGTTCAGATCAAAGGTGTGATTCAGGTGAGGAATTTTCTTGTTAAGCTGTAGAAGAAAACGAACTGAAGTCAATTCTTTGTATTAAACCACGGCTGTGTGTTTGTTCCAGGTGGGAGACAGAGATGATTCAAACCTCTATATCAGCACCAAACTGAAGGCTGCAGCTGAGGTGAGAACTTGAATATTTTTCCTACTCCTTGATTTCCAGGCTCAGTTCATGCAGCTTCTACTATCCTGCATATTTCTGCTGTTGCTCAGATCTTCTTCCTTTAGTACAATCCTACAGATACAATAAAAACTATCCATCCATCTCTTGGACTGTGGTAGGAAGGTGCCTTAGGTGGGCCCTGGGCTCCACTACCAAGCCTTTGCTCATTTGCATATTGATGGTGTTTTCCTGCATATTAACTAATCTGCTGATAAAGTCAATGGGTCTCATGCAGGAACTGTTCATACAAACATATTTGTTCCTAAATAGTTAGTTTAGGAGGAGACGCCTCATTCTCCGTCTTCCTGTCTCTGATCGTCTCTCAGGTAGGAACTCGTTCTCCTCCAGACTGATGTAGGAGTCTAGATCCATCAGTCAGCTGGTAGTTTCTCCCTAAATGACCACATCTGTTGTTCCTTAGAAGCTATCATCCATGTTACCAGGCTGCATCATTCTATATTCTGCAGCTCTACAATTCTAGATGCCAGAACTCTGGGTCCCTCCCCATGCAGTTGGCATGTGGGGACCCAGGGGTTTCATTGGTTGGTCCAAAGAAAGACCAGTTATTGACTCTATATGAGATCAATCTACTATAGAAATAAGATGTGGAACAGAAAATGGATGGTTGTTGAGCAAAGCTCCTCTAACGTTTAGACTGTCCTTCATTTCTCTCCATGGCAGCT